TTAAATTAATGTGTCACCATAATACTTGTGTCTATTTGAGCTACTCTGGCTACTCCTAACTCCTCAGTTACTGTCTTCCCTTCAGTCTGACTTCCCTCAGTCTCAGGAAGTAAAAAAGAACCACATTGGAAGAGAAACCACCAAGGTGACAAGGTGATTAAAAATGCAGCAGGGTTTGTGTTGAAGTCTCAATTGGACGTCTCACTCAACATATCTCATTGTCCTCCACTGAACTTCCACTGGGATTATTGTTGGTTTCAAAAGTGTGTCTCCCTCGGCCTTTTCTGTCACTTCACTTGGGCATTTTTGTTCTTCACTTTAACAATTAACAAGCATTTTTCCAAGACACTTTCCACTCCCCTTGCAGACACTGTTGCTACAATTCCAGGTGAAATGATAATCGCTTCTCAACAAGGGGATGAGATCACGGAAGCCCCAACTTTTAGGTTCAGATGCTGCTTTCCACACCCACACAGGTACTTCCTGGGCATCCACTTCCCCAGCTGCAAATGCCAGCCAGGTAAGTAGCAACTCTGTTCAGATAAGTATCCGATTCTGAGATGGACTTCATTAGAAAATTCAGTGATAACATATGATAAATGATTCTGTGTCTCAGGGTTGGAACATAAAATTATAACACATACAGACACACATACATATATATTCAGGACAGATTTTATTTAAGGAAATACTCGGCACGTTGCCAGTCTCATTCACCTGTGTTGAGACTGCCTGACACCTCTCCTTCCTGTTACAGCTCTCTTCGAAGTTGTCTCTCCTGCGTCCCTGATCACACATGGGGACCCATGGGTTTTCACTGTCCAGGCTTCATGCTCTAGGCAAGTGACAAACAGTAATACAGAGAAGACGCCCTCCAGCTGCTGAGACAATGCTGATGTCTGAATGACAGGTACTGTATGTAAATTGGCTTTTGTTTTGTTCTGTTTGGAGGGAGAGTATGTTTGACTATATGCAGTCTGTAATAATATGTCTCTAATGTTTCTTTCCTTATGAAGAGAACATTAACATTTATTTAGAGAAAAGGAAGACTCATTTCATCTCCCATGTTAGGGACAAAAATAAAAAGATTAATTAAGGAAACCTGTGATTCACTATTATATTTGACAAAGCCTTTTTAAAAATATATTTTTTATTGATTATGCTATTACAGTTGTCCCACTTCCCCTCTTCATTTCCCTCTACCCTGCACACCCCCTCCCACCCACATTCCCCCCCTTTAGTTCATGTCCATGTGTTGTAAGTTCTTTAGCTTCTACATCTCCCACACTATTCTTGCCCTCCCCCTATTTTTTCACCACCATCTATGCTACTTATTCTCTGTACCCTCTCCCCCACTCTCCTCCTCCCACTCCTCTATTGCCAACCCTCCACGTGATCTCCATTTCTGTGTTTCTGTACCTGTTCCAGTTGTTTGCTTAGTTTGTTTTTGTTTTTGTTTTAGGCGTGATTGTTAATAACTGTGAGTTTGCAGTCATTTTACTGTACATATTTTTAATCTTCTTTTTCTTAGATAAGTCCCTTTAGCATTTCATATGTTAAACAAGGGCTTGGTGATGATGAACTCCTTGAACTTGACCTTATCTGAGAAGCACTTTATCTGCCCTTCCATTCTAAATGCAAGCTTTGCTGGGTAGAGCAATCTTGGATGTAGATGTTTCCCTTTCATGATTTAGAATACTTCTTTCCAGCCCCTTCTTGCCTGCAAGGTCTCTTTTGAGAAATCAGCTGATAGTCTGATGGGAACTGCTCCCTAGGTGACTGTCCTCTTATCTCTTGCTACTTCTAGAATTCTCTCCTTATCTTGGGTAACTTAATGATGATGTGTCTTGGTGTGTTCCTATTTGGGTCCACCTTCTTTGGGACTCTTTGACCTTCATGGACTTCCTGGAAGTCTATTATTTCCTTTTCCAGATTAGGAATGTTCTCCTTTATTATTTGTTCAAATAAGTTTTCCACTTGTTGCTCTTCCTCTTCACCTTCTGGTATCCCTATAATTCGGATATTGGAATGTTTAAAAATGTCCTGAAGGTTCCTAAGCCTCTCCTCATTTTTTTTGAATTCTTGTTTCTTCATTCTTTTCTGTTTGGTTGTTTCTTTCTTTCTTCTGGTCCACTCCCTAGCTTTGAGTCCCAGTTTTCTTCCCATCACTATTGGTTCCCTATACAATTTTCCTTTATTTCACTTAGTGTAGCCTTCATTTTTCATCTAATTTGGGACCAAATTCAACCAATTCTGTGAGCATCCTGATCACCAGTGCTTTGAACTGTGCATCTGATACATTGCTACCTCTTCATTGCTTAGTTGTTTTGGAGCTTAGATCTGTTCTTCCGTTTAGGCTAATTTTTTTTGTCTTGTCATGCCTGTTATGTAGTGAGGGGCAGAGCCTTAGGTGTGTTCACCAGGGCAGGGCAACCCACATTCCTGGGTTGTGATGCTGTATGTGGGGGAGGGGTCAGAGAGGAAACAATGGCACTTGCTCCTCTCTGTTGGATCTCAGTCCCTCCCACCACTCCCCCCAAGCAAACTGGGCCCTTCTGGTGCTGGTTCCTGTGTGGGTGGGTTTGTGTACGCTCTAGGACCCTGTGGGTCTCTCCAACGAACTCTCCTGCGAGTCTGAGTGCCTCTCCTACTGCCGCAACACCCACAGGTGTTTTCAGTTGGTGTTCTGAGGCTTTATTTCCCCGTGCTTGGGCCCTAGGTTGAGCTGTCTGTCTTGCTCCCCAGTTTCTCCTGGTTTATCTGCATACGAATGTGTGACCAACTGGTCAGCCAACCTCCTTTACCCGCCTCACTGGGTCTGTCCACTGCTGTCTTTCATGCCGGGGGTCCACCAGCCATCACTTTTTTTGCCATGACCCCTCTCTGCCTGGCACCCGACTCCACCCTTCTTATCGATCTGGATGATGTGTCTTTTTTAACCCCTTTGGTTGTTGAACTTCCATACATTTCAATTTTTCTCTCAGTCTGGCTGTTTTTTTGTTTCTAAATTTTTGTTGTCCTTATTTTGGTTGTGCGAGGAGGCACAGTATGTCTGCCTACGCCTCCATCTCGGCCAGAAGTCCTTAGCATATTTCTTCTAAGTACTTTTGACATGTGTCACTCAGGAGGCCATAGTAGCTGTGGGAATATTGTGAGGTCGACAAAACAGAGGGAAGTCCCTAAAGTGATCCTAAAGGAGGATTACAATCATAGTTCTGTGAGAACAAAGTTCATAATGCCCTTTCAGGAACCAGCAAGCCGCATGAGGTGGAGGGGAGTTGGGGATAGTGGGCAGGTAATATGTTGCAATGTGCTTTTCCAAAATTTGGCAATTCTTTCTTCATTATACACTCCCCTGTGATTGTAGATGTTTTAGTTAGATTTCAGATTTCTTGAATAGTTGATTCTGACCAGTTCTGCAAACTTAATCTTTGTTTTTATTGCAGGATAAAAACGTCCAGTTCCCCACTCCACCATTTTTGGTCATGTTGCTTTCTTGGTGAAGTCCATTTGCTACATACTGAGATTTAAAGTGAGCGTGATATGAAAGGTACCAACTCTCTACCTCATGGTAAATCGGGAAAGGATTGGGTCAGGACTACTGGCATAATAAAGCATACATTTTGGCACAAAAATTCAAAGAAATTTTGTGAACTTTAATAAAGATTAGGTTAGTGGTTTACACCGTGACTCCCTAGGCCAGTGGCATGGCATCCTTGGGAACTTGTTATAAATGCAAATTCTTGTGTTTTGTCTCAGGCCAACACAATCAGTAACACTAGAGTTGGGAGTCCACAGTCTGAGTTTCATAAACATTGCTTTTCATTCTGATGCATACTTGATTTAGATGACTACTATGATACACTATAAACCAAAAATGACATGACAGCTCCAGATTAAGAAAATTACATGAGCTCATAATTTTAGTGGAAAATAAAAGAGGTTATGTACTTCCAGGAAATGAATCAAAATTCAAGATATTATGTAACTAACTATAAAAACCACTTTTGTAAAATATCAAATCTAGCATGAAAATAATATAGGTACATTAAAAGCCTCAGGAAAACTTGAGAAGCCTTAAGTGACAAGGAAATAATAGTCAATATTTGCAAAAAAGATACTGTTGCATTTTATTCAATAAAGGGAAAAAAGAAAGGGTAATTTAAGTTATACCAAAATTCCCATTAATTTTCATCATGTCAGCAAAGTACAGGTATATTAACTCACCAGACTTGACACTGAAGTGATTTATTTTTTAGGTCCAGTAAATACAATTAAGAGATAAACTAATATTTAAAATAATAAAAATGTAACTTTATGATATACATAACATACTCAGTGGAATATTTACTAAAATAATTCATAGTAATCAGAGCTGCTGATGTTGCCCATCAATTTAAACCTGAATTGGACTCATCATTATTTTTACAACCAAAATTAGAATTCTTGGCTGGTTCTATAGCGTCTGTCTGAACTAGTTATCATGTGTATTTATTGCTTCATGTTCTATCCTAGTCCTTATCATTCTCCATATCAACACCAGACATGGTGAGGTTCATCAGGTCTCTGAAAACCTTTTGTGGCTTCCACTGAATGAGTCTTTTCAGGTGATTATTCTGTGTCCAAAACTACAACATACAAGTATACTTTAAAAAATCATCAATTTTCAGGTAAGTACATGAAAAATAAGTACATTATAATACCCATCTTTATCACAAAATTCGATGCTTTGCACCTTTGTACTCTCTCAACACTCTCCCAAGACTTTCCATTCATTATAAAGAGGCGTAAGTACGTGAAGTAAGTTTGATATAATAGAGTACATAATTTCAACTTCCGCTTAAGCTAGAAATTCTAGGAAAGCAGAAATGTAATTAGTTTTATTCACCACTGTGAAACACATTTCTAGCAGAATTATTAGCACCTAATAATTACTGACATTCATTAAAATTTCTTAAAAACTAAACTCATTATTCATCCGACTGCCAAAGTTAGAAGAGTTATAGGTTTTTAACCAGATTGGCTTTACATGAAATTTTGGCCCAGAAATTTAAAACGAGTTGAGAGCTATGGATGTTACTGATAATAAGCAAAAAGGGACTAAACGTTGGAAAGCATGAGTCCAGGAACACAGGGATGTCCACCAGCCACTGGCTTGGTGACACAGTAAGAATAATGTAAAGAGTTGAAATGGAAGAAAGAGAGTAAAAGGTGACAAAGCTGCTCACCAGGATCAGAATGATGCGCGTGGCTCTGACTTCGTGGGACGGTCTGTGGGGAAACAGGTTGCTGTGAATGTGTTGGACTCGCTGCTTGTGCCTAATCAGGAAAAAGACCATGGAGCCACTAGTCCACATCATGAGAACCAAACATATAACATCAAAGGAAGATAACACAACTCCAAGAAGTAGGACTATAAGTCTGTCTGACCTGAGTGAAAAACAATATCCAAAATGTGTTTTTGCACTCACATTTTTACTGTTTGTTGGCCCAAATACTTGCATGGGAATAAAGACATTTGTTAAGAGATGCAGAATCCAGCAGAGGGAACAACAGAAAGTAATGCACTTTGGGGACCTCGTTTTATGCTCCAACCACCTATAGGTTCTGGAATAAAGTTTAATGGCCTGGAAGCCACTGAGGAGGCAGGCAGTGCCAAGGGACACCCCTCTGGCCACTCTGTGTAAATAGAAGACAAGTTTACATCCCACATCATCCAAAAAATATTTTAACCCAAAAGCTGCCATTGTGTGAGGTATCCCCTTGGAATAAAGAACCAGGTTGTTGGCGAAGACCAGCTGGTTGAGAATCAAGTCTATGGGTTTCAGCTTGTGTCCAGTGAGCCAAGAGAAATTATAAAGACAAAGGAGGGAGGAGTTTCCCAGGATCCCAGCTCCAGTCTCCAGGAGGAAGACAAATCCTTTTTCCAAGCTAGCAGAGCCCATCACATCAGTATCTAGGAGACACTGATCTTAATTTGGAGTCAAAATATGGTAGGAACATAAAGAAAGGAGAATGTGTTAATTTCATCTGCCAGTAATTCCTAGTGCTAAATCTAACACATTTTAAAAAATTCTTTAAACGGTACATTTTTTAAATTAAATGAGCATTAAGAATAAGAGTTTATGGACTTGAAACTTAATAATTAGGAGTCCCATGTTGGAAACCAGTTAAATATCAAACTAAAAGAGGAAGTTTCGATAAATAATGGACCGTTAATATTATATCTCTACATCTATAAAACTGAATGGAAAACCTCTCTATGCATGTGTATGAAGTTCTTTCCAGGATGTATTCTTAAATAAAAGATAAGACATGGGCAGGCGACTACCTAGTATGCCACTATTTTTGGATTTCTTAGAATTCTGAACGAATATGAATAGGGATACATTTGTATGTGTGAATTCAGTTGTTTTAAAACTGAAACCCACGAAAGATGAATGATATAGAGATAAAGAGACAATCTAGGTTGGAGGGATAGAAATGAAAACTAAATGTTTATGAATTGATCCTGTGTTAAAGTGTTTACTCTTAGGTAAACACAGCTATTTTACATAATTATCTGACAATATTAACTTAAAATGCAATGAAAACAATAAAATTCTAAGGCAAATTTACGATCAAATATATATAGCTCATTGTTGTCTATCTATATGAAGTAATAAAATTTTAAGTGCCTTAAAAACCTATTTGGACTAAGTACTTGTTCTGAACTATATCAAGGCAAAAATACTTGCAAAGGTGTTAAATTTTCTCATAACCATATTGTTAATAAAAGCAGTGGGAAATATTCTGAAATTAATGAGTAAGTATTTTAATGTAATTGGGAAATGAGGCTTTTTCTAAAAGGGAAAACTTAGAAATAAAAATGCAAACAGTTTAAGGAAAACTTTTTAACTTTTAATTTTGTTCAGGAGAATCATCATTAATGTGACCTGTATTTTTTCTGAAGCATGAACACATATTTCCACTGTATACTCTAACCAACTCCCAAGTAATTACCATGCCCATTATTCATATTGTATTCACAAAATGCAGTTTTCAACTAGAACAAGATACATATCTTTCAAAAAAGACAAGAGGACTCTGGAATGTTTTCTCACATCAAACAAGGAAACTTCCCCAAACGTCTAAAGACTCTTTGGAGTTCATACTGGTTTTGTTTTCAGGAAGTTAAGGAAAGGACTATTTATTCTGGAGGGTGATAAGGGGATGTTGAAGCAAAAGGAAGAACTGGTTTTATATATTAACATCAGGATGAAATAAGAGTGGTTGTATGTTTTAGACTAAAAGGAAAAATCTCATATTGCAAATAATTAATTTAACCTAAGTGTATTGATTAATATCATTCAAGTGGCAATGCAGATTTTTTATAATTTCAAAATATTAAAAACATAGTTAATAAGATTTGAAGCTTGCAATAAAGAGAATTTTATTTTATTGATTATGCCTTTACATATGTTCTATTTCCCCTCCTCTGTTCCCCTCCACCCTGCACACCCCTCCCCCACCATTTTCCCCCCTTTAGTTTATGAACACGTGTGTCAAGTTCTTTAGATTCTATATTTCCCCTACTATTCTTACCCTCCCCCTATCTATTTTCTATCTACTATTTAAGCTACTTATTTTCTGTACCTTCCCCTTCTCCTCCCACTCCTCTGTTGCTAACCTTCCATGTGATCTTCATTTCTATGGTTCACTCCTGATCTAGCTGTCCTCTTAATTTGCTTTTGTTTTAGGTGTGGTTGTTCATAACTGTGAGTTTGCTGTCCTTTCACTGTTCATCTTTTTTATCTTCTTTTTCTTAGGTAAGTCCCTTTAACATTTCATATAATAAGGGCTTGGTGATGATGAACTCTGAATTTGATCTTATCTGAGAAGCACTTTATCTGTCCTTCCATTCTAAATGAAAGTTTTGCTGGATAGAGCAATCTTGGTTGTAGGTCTTTGGATTTCATGACTTGGAATACCTCTTTCCAGCCCCTTCTTGCCTGTAAGGTCTCTTTTGAGAAATCTGCTGACAATCTGATGGGAACTCCTTTGTAGGTGACAGTCCCCTTATCTCTTGCTGCTTCTAGAATTCTCTCTTTCATTTTAATCTTGGCTAATGTAATGATGATGTGCCTTGGTGTGTTCCTCATTGAGTCCAACTCCTTTGGGACTCTCTGAGCTTCCTGGATTTCCTGGAAGTCTATTATCTTTGCCAGATCGGGGAGATTCTCCTTTATTATTTGTTCAAATAAGTTTTCCACTCGTGGGTGTTCCTCTTCCCCTTCTGGTACCCCCATAATTCAGATGTTGGAACATTTAAATATATCCTGGAGGCTTCTAAGCCTCTTCTCATTTTTTTGAATTCTTGTTTCTTCATATTTTTCTGTTTGGTCATTTTTTTCCTCTTTCTGGTCCACTCCTTTGATTTGAGTCCCAGTTTCCCTTCCATTACTATTGGTTTCCTGTGCATTACCATTCATTTCAATTAGTTTAGCCTTCATATGTTGCTCTAATTTGTGACTATAATCAACCAGTTCTGTGAGCATCCTGATCACCAGTGTTTTGAACTGTGCATCTGAAAGTTTGGCTATTTCTTCATTGCTTAGATTTATCAGCTCTGGGGCTCTGAGTTGTTCTTGAGCCATGTTTTGTTCTGTTCATGCCTGTTACATACGAGGAGAGGCGCCTTGGTGTTTACCGGGGCGGGGCCACCCAGGTCGCAGGTTTGTGAAGCTGTATGTGTGGGCAGGGTCAGAGAGGGACAGTGGAGGTCCTCTCTCCTCGCCCAGTCTGTCCCACTGCTCGCCCCCAGCTGCCTGTGCACTGCCCTGATCTTTTTTGCCTAACCGGCTCGCTGCTGGTTTCGCCCCTCTCACTGGTTTAGCTGAGTGGTCCGTTGTTTCCGGACTCCGTATTTGATTTTCTGTGTGGTTTGGTTGTGTTTATTGTTTTTAAAACTTTGTTGTTTTTAGATTTGGTTGTGCGAGGACGAAAAGTGTTCCCACCTACACCTCCATCTTGGTGGAAGTCCTCAAGAGAATTTTCTTGAACTGAGCCAAAATCTACTAGCAACTACCTTTTATTTATATATAGAATGGGTCCAAAAGAGGAGGCTTGTAATTCACACACACACACACACACACACACACACACACACCCCACATTATCTTCAATAAAAGTACATTAAAATTAGTTGGGAAAATAATTATCCCCTTTAAATATAGAGTATTACAAAAATATTGGTTCAAAAGAGAAGTAAATTTTTACCTTAGAACTGAGGGAGCTTTAAACTGATGGGTAGAAGGCCCTAGCTGATGTAGCTCAGTGGATTCAGCATGGGCCGGCGAACCACACGATTGCAGTTTGATTCCCAGTCAGGGCACATGCCTCGGTTGCAGGCCAGTTCCCAGCAGGGCACACACAAGAGGCAACCATACATTGATGTTTCTCTCCTTCTCTCCTTCCCTTCCTCTCTAAAAATAAATAAATAAAATCTTAAAAAAAAAAAAAGATGGGTAGAATCTAAAATAGTAACAAATCCCACAGATAAGATGTTAGCTATATTTTTATCATCTTTGATAGAACACATCATTACTGTGTATACTACAGGCAAAAAACTTTTCATAACAATGAAATTATAATGAAAGCAGAAGAACTTTATTACATATAAAATTAACCTAAAGGGACTATTTAAATATATACAATATGTTGTAAAAATGTCTCAGTAATCACCTGCCAATATGTACAAACAAGCAGACCTCATAAACATTAAAACTTATGTCACAAACCATCAGAAAAGTGAAAATGATGTTAAAATGACATTATTTATAACTATAACATTAATTTTATCCAAATTTTATTTTGGTTCAAATTCCTCTGAAAGAAGGTTTATATATCTTTTATTTTCTATAAAAACCACCATTAAGCATAATCAACAACTGGTAACTATTCTTTCTTGAGATGTAATTGATAGATAACATTATGTTGGTTTAGGTGTACAGCAGAACAATTCAATATATGTATATATTGTAGAATCATCACCATAAGCATAGTTAACATTCATCACCACACATAGATTTTTTTTTTCTTGTGATAAGAAGTGTTCAGGTCTACTTTTTAGCTACTTTCAATTAGGCAATACAGTGTTATTAACTATAGTCACCATGCTGTACATTACGTCCCCAGGACTTATTTATTCAACAAATGCCAATTCTTTATGCTAGCCTGAACATTGAGAGATGTTGGAACCCCGAAAGCTCAGAAATTTGTATATTTATACATGTATGTCTTGTCACTTACTATTACCTTAAAGGCAGTTAAAAAAAAAATCCTCCAATTTGGGTGGCATTTCATGCAGCATTTATAGCAAAAACTTTTATATGACTTTTTGCACTCCTATTTTAGTTGTTCTCAATAAATTAAGTATATAATTGGAATGAAGACAACAGTTAAAGTTTGGGAGAAGAAAACTGGCTCTTTTTTAGTTTCTTGGGGTGACATTGATTAATAAAATTATACCAGTTTCAGGTATACAATTCTACACCATGTAATCTGTGTATTGTATTGTGTGTTTACCACACCAAGTCAAGTCTCCTTCCATCCTCAGAAAACGGGCTGTTGATAAAGGATACACACCAACTTATGGAGACTAATGTGCTGATCCCACTGACCAAGCCCATGTTTGACCAAGCCCATGGATACTGATTACTATGGTACTTGAAGGGGATATGGAAAAATAATTCACTCAGCAGGAGGTCAAGCAGAAAGGAGCTACAAGAGATCTTGCAAAACCTTTATAAACAAATGAATATGTGTCTGGAGGGATCTTCACCGATTGCAGATAGGGTTCCCTCCTTACAGGAGGTCCTGTAAGGGTAGCAGGGTCGTGCGTCACAGTGACTATTTACATTAAATGTATACACGCAGGTACCCTTCGAAATACTTGTAGAAGAAA